CAAGGTGCAACGAAATCAAAACTCGATCGAAGGTGAAATATTGGACAGTGGCACTCTCTGATATAGCCGATTGACCACGAATCGAAGCCTTTGATGAGTTTAGACTACTTACCGGACACGATTGCTTGGCAAAACTCACAAATTGGGATTATACACTCAACCCACATGCCCTCCATGTAACAAGATTGATCAAAACACCTTCACAGATTGAGAGTATACACTCAACCCACATATACTCTATGTAACCTACAGGAGGAAATGGAGAAGTCCCACCTGTCTATGTGACCTACAGGAGGAAACGGAGAAGACCCACCATATGTAACCTACATGAGGAAATGGAGAAGACCCATCTGATCTGTAACCTACAGGAGGAAATGGAGAAGACCCACCTGATGTGAAACCTACAGGAGGAAATGGAGAAGACCCATCTGATTCTTAATCTAAGAGAGTATACACTCAACCCACATGCCCTCTGTGTAACCTACATCAAAACACCTTCACAGATTGAGAGTATACACTCAACCCACATATACTCTATGTAACCTACAGGAGGAAATGGAGAAGTCCCACCTGTCTATGTGACCTACAGGAGGAAACGGAGAAGACCCACCATATGTAACCTACATGAGGAAATGGAGAAGACCCATCTGAGTGAAACCTACAGGAGGAAATGGAGAAGACCCATCTGATTCTCTACAGGAGAAAATGGAGAAGACCCACCTGATTCGGTGTTCAAAGGAGGAAATGGAGAAGACCCACCTGATTCGGTGTCTAGCGATCAACCCACATGCCCTCTATGTAACCTACAGGAGGAAATCTGGCGAAGCACCTTCACAGATTAGGAGTATACAATCAAAACACCTTCACAGATTGAGAGTATACACTCAACCCACATATACTCTATGTAACCTACAGGAGGAAATGGAGAAGTCCCACCTGTCTATGTGACCTACAGGAGGAAACGGAGAAGACCCACCATATGTAACCTACATGAGGAAATGGAGAAGACCCATCTGATCTGTAACCTACAGGAGGAAATGGAGAAGACCCACCTGATGTGAAACCTACAGGAGGAAATGGAGAAGACCCATCTGATTCTTAATCTAAGAGAGTATACACTCAACCCACATGCCCTCTGTGTAACCTACATCAAAACACCTTCACAGATTGAGAGTATACACTCAACCCACATATACTCTATGTAACCTACAGGAGGAAATGGAGAAGTCCCACCTGTCTATGTGACCTACAGGAGGAAACGGAGAAGACCCACCATATGTAACCTACATGAGGAAATGGAGAAGACCCATCTGATCTGTAACCTACAGGAGGAAATGGAGAAGACCCACCTGATGTGAAACCTACAGGAGGAAATGGAGAAGACCCATCTGATTCTCTACAGGAGAAAATGGAGAAGACCCACCTGATTCGGTGTTCACTTAGGAGAAAATAGAGAAGACCCACCGGATTTGGTGTCCAGCTCTAAAGACAACGACGGTAAGTTAGATATACTGGGAAGCAAGAAGACAGCCAATGAATTGGTAGTACATTAGTCACTTTCACTCTTCCCAGTATCTCGCCGTTTTCGTCTTTATCATTTTAGCTGGACACCGAATTAGGTGGATCATCTCAATTTTCTCTTGTAGAATACGTAGGATGCACGTTGATTGAGTGCTTTCTCCTAATCTATGAAGGTACTTTGATATGTCATCGGTTATCTCGGAGTGTGCTACTGTACACCGTTTCTCATTTGTTCGAGCTTTAAGATCGTCGCACATTGAGGTCTGGAATTCTCTCCTGATTGATGCCTTCATTGTGTGGAAAGTCATCGGCCAGTCTATGCCTTGCATAATTTTTGTCCCCTTCTTAGCAAGTGCGTCAGCAATCTCATTGCCTTTAATGCTACAGTGATCAGGTATCCATTCCACGACAACTGTTTTGTGTTTTACTCTCAGCAACTAGCACATAATACTTCGAGTAAGGATTTTGGGAGCACAATTTTTGGTGGCAGCGGGATTTATACTCAATATTTTGAGTTTCCGGAGTGCAGCCTTGAAATTTATCGGCTGCCTAATAAAACCCAATGCAGTGTTGTTATTACGAAGATTTAGGAAGTTTTCGTCTGAAGCTGCTTGCATGTGATTTTCATTTCATTGACCACCTGAGATGCGTGACAATTGTAGTAGAGAATTCTAACTTCTCATTTCAAAGGCATTAACTTGAATAATAATTTATACCATTTAACACGAGTCATTAAAACCAAGCTTGCAATTAATCCCTCGCGCGCATTTAAGACCTTTGGCTCAATCCTTAAGAATGTTCAAAATAAGTAGAGAAAATTAATTAAATTAAGATGCTGAATGTGTTGGTTTATTTATTCCACAAAATGGATGGTTGAAATGAAATTGCAGTTACAAGCATATCAAGTTTACAGTTGTCTTCACTAGGTCAATCAAAATGAATCGTGTATATCTTATCTTAACGATTTGTGCACTTCGGAAATGCGAATTCGTAAGCCTTTCAAAGTCCTACTGATCAGGATTTGCAAATTGTAAATTCAAACAAAGCTGCATCGGAAAGTTGTCAACAGTTATGTTCTTCCACGTCAATGCTCCGTATAAATTCTGCACCAATTAACTCATTACTTAACCAGTTAAGTAAAACCGATTTATACAAGGATAGTTGTACATAAAGACAATGCATTTACTTTATGAAGTTTCTTGGTAATAAGGCAGTTATAAACCGTTAAGTCAATTCAACATGAATTTTAAAATCTCAATCAAGGCCAATATCTAAATTTTGTTCAAGTTTGCAATTCCAACGAATCATCTTTTGTCGGGTTTCATTATATTATGCCGCAGTTTAATCACATTTTATCTAGATGGGAAAATTACAATCACGAAAAATACTAAATTTGAATAAAAGTGATATCGCAATATCAGATTAGTTGTCGAAATGCTAGAATTTTCTTATTATAAATCAATTCTTTCTTAAAAAAATAGTTTATGCAAAAATCAGGGTTTGGGAATTTTATGAGGCGAGATATGATTAAACTGTGCGTTAATAAATTTTTTTTTTAGATACAATTTAAGGCACATTCGGAATAAATTGCTAATTATACATAATTGTTCATAATTTCAAGGGCTACTTTACTGAAAAATGGGCCATAATAGGCAATTGTGAGAAGTTAATTTGTGGATATTTATTTGTATTTCCTTATTCGTAAAAATCCAATTTGAAAAAATTGTACGTTAACTGTTAATTCAACAATATGTTTTCTCAACAGGAATCAGAGTCAAAGCTTGCAAAAATACGGTATATAAATTTGAAATTAGTGAACGCTCTCTATAAATAACGCCTTCACTGTTCACTGTTGAAATGGAAACAATATTCACGCTTTCACTATATGGATGTTGCATTTCAACGTTAGAAACGCTTTCCATAAAGTAAATTTTTACAGGAAATCTGTTTCATTAATTTATGGAAATTAAAATAGAAACTCGAAATTTACTATTTCCGTATCAATTTAACAACGATTAAATTTCTACTTAACCCTTTAAGTAAAATGTATTTATTCGTCATCTTAATAAGAGTAAATGAACCGACTTAAACTGAACACTTTTAAACATTAAATTACAGATCATATTTGTGCGCGAAGGGCAAATTTCAATTTCGACTTTAATGACTCGTAACAAAGACGAAATTGAAATGAGAAGTTGACATTTTTAACTATCATTATAACGCATCTCATGTGGTCATTGAAGTGAAAATCAAATCAAGCGAAAACATCCTTAAAATTTATAATGTCTACCAGACACTATTGAGCTTAATCATTAAACTGTGTCATGTTTGATATCTAAAAGTTAATTAGATATGCCTCTGTGATCATTACCATTCGTTAATGTACTCGGTATTTCCATCAAACGTCACTCATAGTGCCTCACAACTCCACTGCTTCCCAATTCTCTCCACCTATGGGACCCTTGAAACGGCATAATTTCAAACCACGTACGTTTGAAATAATAAAACTTACTTTCGTTTATGTTTATTTTAAAAGTTGTGTTAATGTAAATTAATGCAAATGAAGATATCATATAGTCGTCTGAATTTGATCAACTGATCGAATTTTATAAGGGATATTTAAAAACACTTAGTAATATTTTTAAAAATAATCAAAGAATGTTCAAAAAGTGGTACAACATTTTTTCTTTAGTCAGTCGTCATTTTGTAAAATTATTTTTGTAACTTTACCGTAGTTCCAGACATAGCGAAATAATCGTTGATTGAAGCTCTTTTTTAATTTTTCATTTCAGATTGCTAGGAGAGTTAAAATCGTCGGTATGGTCACGCAACATATTTTTAAGACGCCTTATAGCAGCCATTAATTTAAACCTGAATTATACTCCTCCATCTTTACCCCTTATGTTGAGAGTTACAACCAACTGCTTGACCACTTCAAAACACCAAACAACTCTCCAAAACAAATGAGCTCACTGGCTCTTGAGACAATCTATGTCTACTGTCCTGTAGATCAATGGCTCGAGGTCTTCACCGATAGTCATACATAGAAAACCAAGTAAACCTTAAACGGAAGCAAAGTGCTACCCAAAACAGTTAAGATATCATAATGCAAAAACTCTATCCCTTGATGAATGAAAAACAAAACAGTGTTCCTACAGTGGATTCCCGATCATTGAGGCATAAAAAGCAATGAGCTTGGTGACTCACTTGCTAAGAAAGGGACAACATTTTTTCAAGGCATAGACCGGTCGATGTTTTCCACACAATGAAGATCCTAATCAGGAGAGAATTCAAGACTTCAATGTGCAACAAACCTGAAGCTTGAACAAAGGAGAAAGAGTAGCTAGTGGCACTCT